CTGAAATTATGGGGATAGGACTTATTATTGTATATTCGTTATTCGGATATTGCTTTTAGTATAATGATGTCTTCGAAACGTATTGTTTTAAGTATTTTTATTGGTAAACAATATTTGCATTATAAAGAATCGGGTAACCTTGATCAAATTGTTTCGGCGACAGTGAAGTTTGATGAAAAAATCCTCATATCTATTTTTGTCTTTAGAAGAAAGAGCCGTGTAGTGGTCTCCGATAAACCTGATTTGTTAGCTAACCGACGAGCTAAAATTGTAAATCATAACCAACTCTTTTATGTAAAGGAATCTGTAGCTAGCAATGGACTAAAACACGCTGTCGTTAATAATGATCCTAATACGGAATTAAGAATAAAATTAATTAATTTTCTAGAAGGGAAATGTCACTTTTGTCCAAAAACAGATTAAAAATTCAAAGATCCATAGAGAGGTACATAGGTACTGTTATTAGTCACAAAATACAAAATCTACGACTTAAACTATGTTGCAAGACCGTTAAAACGGCTTTGGGCAGGTACCTACTCATTTTCATATTAATAATGCAAGCCTCGCCATGTATAATAACCCATAATTTGAATAATACCTGCTTTGTAAGAGCCACGTTCGAGTCCCCAGCAGGTAATGCGCGGTTGCGACTTCTTGTAAAACCGGTTATTTCATCCAATTATTGTTTTATTCTTTAATGAAGTTTAATCTGTATTTGTTTGTCATAACCGTCATGTGTCTAGATTAGTTTTAGCTGAGTATGTCGTTGTTTGTTTTTGTTTATTTGCGAGATTGTTTTTAATTGTTTTGTATCGTTAGGTTAGCTTGTTTTAGGGAGAAAATGTAAGTTGAGGTGTCAGTATTTTTTATCTGGATTTGTATTTTTTTTATTTTAGCTGAAACTTTCAGCAGTTGTATACTGGTAATTTCCCCTTTTTCCCATTTCGGGGTAAAACAGGTTCAAAGTTAACATTTTAATATTTTGCTGATATTGTTAAACATTTATATTAACCTTACGATTATTTTTATTTGCTTTTAAATTGAGGAACGCTTCGTATATCATCGGGACATAGTACACACTTACCAGCTTTTAACGAGCAATAGTTTTTTTTATGAGATAAGTCGGTAAACGAGCAGACGGATCACCTGATGGGAAGCAATCGGCGTCGACCATAGACACCCGGAACACCGGAGGCGTTACAAGTGCGTTGCCGGCCTTTTGGGGTTTAGGAGAATTTTTGGGGATTCAGGGATTGGGGAGATTGGGGGGAGGGTAATTGGGCCTTTGGCCTAAAATATCGGCATTTAATTTCAGCTCTGCGTCGTTTATCAGTCAATGATAACAAAATAATATTTAAATACATGCATTGATTTGAACATTGCTAATCTATAATTAAGAATATTAATTTAACATTAATAATAGTCTTCCTGTTTACCTTGCCAATTCGTTATTATTGGGGCGGAACTTTTTCAACTAGAACGCTTTGCGCAGACGCGACGGGCACTTTTGTCGAACTGACTCAATTGATTTAGGGGAACTCTAATATTATATTATCGTGTACTATTCGATATAATAATATTTATGAGGGATTAATTTTAAAAAGTTATAATCAAACTGCTACGTAAGTTGCTTCTATGAGAAGTAGGTACGTAAGGCTCTGTCATTAATATCTACCTCTTTGAGAAAAAGATGTTGTTCTATATACATAGCTAAGTGTAAATCGTTGTTCACTAAAAATATTTACACATAAAAAAGCCAAAATTATGAGAAAAATATGAATTTAAGCAAAAAAGTACAAATAAATTGCGAAATCACAAAAAGAGGATTGTGGCCCATGAGGGGATCGAACCCGCGACCTTCGCGTTATTAGCACGACGCTCTAACCAACTGAGCTAATGGGCCGATATGGACGTTGACGAAATAACGGAGTGGTTGCCAAAATGTATGTATAATGTTACAGAATGCATATATTTTGTTACGTAATGCATATTATTATACTAATGGTACACAGAAGAAATATGCAATGTTTGTTTTGTTCTGCATTGCTACGAAACTATTGAACTGATTTAAATAATGAGGATCAACGTTTATAAGAAGCGAAACAAGTTACTCAACGATTAATATACTTTAATTTTCAAAATTCATTGATTGCTCAATGCTTTGGAATTCGCTAGTTTTCTATTGGATAAACGAACCTTATTTTTTAGATTAGCGCCATCTGGTGAGCAGGAACGGTAACCTATATTCTTTCGCTATTGGAATTTGGAACCTATTAGCTAGCTACTTCTTTTTATGGTATAAGCCGGTAAACGAGCAGACGGATCACCTGATGGTTAGCAATCGGCGTCGCCCATGAACACCTGGAACACCAGAGCCGTTACAAGTGCGTTACCGGCCTTTTGTAGATTAGGAATTAGGATTGATTGAATACCCTCAGGGATTATGGAGATTGGGGGGGGGGGATAATTGGGCCTCCGGTAACCTCAGTCACACAACGAAATACAACGCAAGCGTTGTTTCACGTCGGTTTTCTGTGAAGCCGTGGTATCACTCCAGTCGAGCCGGCCCTTTCGTGCCGAAGCATGGCTCTCCCACACTTGTATTCTATGTCAATATTTTTACAAGATCGTCCCGATCTTCTTTTTGACGATTGATTTCTCTGTGAGATAAAACTGCACAATTTAATGTCGGTGAAATCTCTATTGTAACACGTACATTATGCAATATTATGTTGCTTTTTGAATTCGTATTGTTTGGAAATATTCCAAGTTACCCTATAGAATAAGCTATAGGGCAGGGCTGTCTAAACAAAGGCCCGCGAGCCGCAAGTGGCCCGCGGCTTGTTTTCATGTGGCCACGAGGCACATTTTAATCGCAACATCTTCATCTTATACGCATCAATAATAAAATTCAGTGTATGATTTGCATACAAGTTTTGTCTATGAGTAAAGAATACAATGTTAAAAGTCATTATATAACTGAAAACATTTATATGGCGTTCCAGCTTTTGAAAAAAATTTAATTAGCCCATGTGGGTATATAGGTTGGACAGCCCTGCTATAAGATAGGGTATTAAATATTTATTTTAATAATAGAATTGATATTGTTCCTCTTTTGAGTCACAATAGAGCATTTTGAGTCATAACATCATCAACAGCTTATAAATGCCCACTACTAAGCAAAGCCTCTTCTTACACGGAGAAGGTTTGAGCATTAATCACCACGCTTGCTCAATGCGGGTTGGCGATTTCAAACTTATAATTAGAAATTATAAGTCCAGGTTTTCTCACGATGTTATTCCTTCACCGTTTGTCAGTGGTGTCTAAATAATCTTAGAAAGTACATATAGCTCGGAAAAAGTCACATTGGTACTTGCCGTTGGTAGGTGTCGAACCTGCACTCTAATGCGTGAGAAGCGGGCGACTTAAACCTCCGGGCCACCACGACACAAGAGTCATAACATAATACCTTAAAATTCTCGAAAGTGTAAGCATAACACTTGAACAATCTAATACCCGCTACAGTGTGTTGTGAGTATTTGTGATTGCGTGTAAACTTATACCCATTGGGTGAAATTGCAGATTCCTTGGCACTATGAGAAATTCTCGGACTCCGTAAACAAATCAATAGTACTTTGCTCAACCTGAGAATCTAATTATACTGATTTGAACAGCAGTAGCGGTTGCAGCTACTCGACTAATAAGTTAAGTACTCAATATATGTATGTACTTACTTAGTTTTTATTCATATTATTATCTAGAATGGATTTAGGTAATCAGAAACTGTATATGTACATAATAGTTAATAAATAGGTAGCTTATATGCAAAAGATTACAAGATAAGAATTGTAAATTACATGATAATGTTGTACAATCGCCAGTTGATATATATAGATATACTAGCCATACATAGTCATCATAATTAAGTGAACATTTTATTAACGAAATCAAACCTGGTTAAAAGATTTCTACATTCACAAATTTGGTTAAATATGAACACAACATACATAACATCACGCCTTTTATCCCCGAGGGGGTGGGCAGAGGTGCACATGACGGCACCTAATGCCACTGTACAAGGTAACACCCACTTTTTACTAATTATGATAAGACTCCCATGTAATAGGGGGTGAGCCTATTGCCATAATGCCGGGCACAATTCCAGACTCCATGCAACCACTGAGATTTTTTTAAATACCTAGTAATACTTTGCCCGACCCGGGAATCGAACCCGAGACCCCATGCCCGGCAGTCGCACTTGCGACCACTCGATCACTGGTTCTCGGCCCTAACCTTCAAAAAATGGGGGAACCCTTGACCGAGTGAGCATATGAATAAGACAATCGTATTTATTGGTCAAGGACAAGGAAATTTCGAAGGTAATGTTAAGAATGTACATTTTAATGTACTTATATCGGTTGTATATTTGTATAAACAACGTGTCTTGTAGTGATGGCCGATTAATTTTGGAACCACCCCTTCTGTTCCCGCGGGTGTAAGACCCGGTTACCGGACTACACATATTTGGCAGTGCTCTCTAATAAAACAGGACTTCCCAAACTGCGATCTTCAATCTGTCTGTCAAGTCGCGCAGAACATAACGGGTTACCGGGGCTCCGGCTCGAAGTGCAGGAGAAGGAACGGGGTAGTTTTTAGTCAGTAAGAGTCACTTAGGTCACCCAGGCGGGAGAAGGCATTCGATGATTTTCGCCCCTTAACACGTTAAACGCCATGGGGGTCACCGGTGACCGGCGTTAGCGGAGGATTTGCCTTCAACAGTTTTTTATTAACAGTCAAAGTCTTAAAAAAATTTGTCTGTCAAATTTCAAACCCTGTTACTTATGTAGAAAAGCTTATCAGCCGGCAGCGGACTATATCAAGCTGTTGTTGAATGAAATACAATTATTTCGGCAACCGCTTATAATCGCCAAACACTACCAGAACACCTACTTATTTAACCTAAAAAAAAAAACTTAGCACTATGTATAAATTCCACTTACCGCAATCAGCATGTTAGTCTGGTCGAAGTAGTCTGCCACTGGCATGACGTTCTTGTAGAAGTTGTTGAGTTCCATCCGCGCCAGACTCAGGACCACGTGGCCGAGTCGCGCGCCATACTCGATCTGTCGTTCCAGTACACGCTGTCGCCAGCTTACTAGGACTACGCCGTTTATAGTCTGGATCTAGACAGGACAGAGAAAATTAAGATAATAAGATCTTTATACTCATACTTAGGAGTTAATAATATAATTTTCCAAACAGTAATGGATATGTCCCTAATTCCTTAGAGTTTCTCCAGGTAATCTACATACATGAAAATGAATCCCTTTTTCCCTTGGTCACGCTATTACGGGTGAAGTGGCTGGACCGATTTCACTAATTCTTTTTTGTTCTTAATAAGGTTCTTAACCCTTGGAGTACCATCATTATAGACACAATTAAAGAACAATAGGTTGCGGTCACCGGTGTCCTCGCGGTGTTTGACAGTTTAACACAGAAAACATCCTGAAATCTTGAAAATCCTACGGGAACGAGAGAAAACGAGATAACGTGTACCAAGTAACGAGCAAGAGGGCAGAAGCTAGTCAATGATTTTGATGTTTTTACGACGGTAAACACCGATAACCCTGTTAAAATGCTTTTCGAGATTCTGCAGTTTAAAAATGTTAGCTACTGAATATTTCAACTTCGTTTTTAAGGATAGTTAAGACATACAAAAAAGATACATAACTTACTTTATGCAAATAAAAAAATATGACTACTAAATAGTGCCAATAAAGGAACACTTCTCTGCATCACCCTATGGTTGGTTGGTAGAGAATGCCATTCGGCATTAAGTCCGCCATTGTATACAGTTGTACATAAAGTGTTAAAATAAATAAATAAATATTTCGGTCTCTTCAACATGGTTCTTGGAAGAACACGTTAAAAAGAAAGATACTAACAATAGGCTCTATGACGTCAACCAAAAACCCTCCAATGAAGTCAAGGAACTTTATTAGATTCTAGCATTACTATCTATTGAAGCTTCAAGCATTTCGCGGCATCATGTTTTGCAGAATCATTATAAGCTAGATACTTGTATGAGTCATGTACTCTATCATTCAAGTTAATTTTAGTACCTATTGATACATAGGCACTAGGCAGTCGTTGGAAATGAAACATAATGTAACATTACGTCTTAATCCCCTAAGGGGTAGGTAAAGATACACAGTGTAACGCCGACTATTCATCAGCTATGTGATCTATACTAATATTATAAAGCTGAAGAGTTTGTTTTTTGTTTGTTTGTTTAAACGCGCTAATCTCCCAAACTACTGGTCCCTTTTGAATAAATATTTTTGTGTTGGATAACCCATTTATCGAAGAAGGCTATGCTAGGCTATAAAATATCACGCTACGATTAATAGGCGCCGAGCAGAGCGAGTGAAACCGCGTGGAAGTAGCTAATATTAAAATAAATCCTGTTTGTATTGTCATACAAAATTTTAAACTCCTTGTTATACCTAACTGTAAATTTTCGAATAACCAGAAAAACCCAAATTAAATTACTCAACCCAATTTTTCGGTCGGGTCGGATGCACGGGTCGGGTCAGACCCGTGCATCGGAGTCGCGCTTGTCACCTCGCATATTGTTCAAGTAGACTTAACATATTACACAGTTTGGGATATGAACCCAAACCCTTTGCAGTTCTGCTTGCTACACCCACTCCAAGTAATAAATACAAATATTAGTAAACTAGCTACTACTAGCGGCTTCGCTCGCGTCACAAAAGGATAAAAAGTAGCCTATGTGACATATACCAATACACCAATACATACAGCGCCATCTATACCAATACTTTTGTTTTCCCTCGGGAATATCAAATTTTTTCGGGATAAAAACTAACCTATTATTTAATCCAGTCTACTAACTTTACGTCTGCAAAAATTCAATGCAATCGGTTTAGTAGTTACAGCGTGAAATCGGAACAAACAAACAAACTCACTTTCCGATTTATAATATTAGTAAGGATAAACGTGTAGATACACAGAAAACAGGTCATTATAGCGAGTGTCACAGTATCACGTGTGTCTAGCGTGAATAGGAACGGACACGCGACGGCGACGACACGGGAACGAAGCGACGAATTAATATCCACATAATTAGAGGTTGCATGGACATTGGACACCCATCAACATATATATTGTAGGTATGTTAGACGGTTTCTGTTTAACATAATATATTTTATTCCGCGCCACATAAAAAAATTTCAGGACTTTCTACTACAATTTATTCTTAAACTGTCAAACACCGCGAGGACACCGGTGACCGCAACCTATTGTTCTTTAATTGTCCATAATAACGGTACTCAAAGGGTTAATACTAGAGGAACGAAGCCGCGGAGGACTTAACCGGTTGCTGAGGCTTCAGCCCGAAGTGCAGGAGTAAGAACGGGGTGGTTTTTAGTCAGTAAGAGTCTGACACTCCCTCCCGCCTTATCCAGGCGTGACAAGTCATTCGATGATTTTCCCTCTTTAAAAAAAAATACTAGAGGAGTTTTTTTTAAATGTTGCCCCACTCTAGGATTTTCTCCTGTGTCGTGGGTGCGTTTACAAACATACAATTTCACATACACATGACACCCAGACCCGAAACAACAAACTGTGGATCACAATAAGAGTTGTTCCGTGCGGGAATTGAATAACCCGCGGTACGATGCGCGGCAGCCGGTTACCCAGCCACCGCGCCAGCCGGTTACCCAGCCACCGCGCCAACCGTACAATCAAGTTGTTTGTTTTTTTTTAATATTAGAAATAGGACGATCCACTATCTTGCCTGATGGTAAGTTATGATACAGCCCATGATGGAGCATGTTTACCTATAAGAAAACTTTTTACTCGGGCCCAGAAGAAACCTAGGTTTTTCTTTTAGGAGTAAAAATATAACACAAAACTATCTAAAGTAGCATCTATCTGTCAAAAGTTCATCAAAAGTTGTCAATACTTCTGCGGAATTCATAAAATAGTGACTTCTGCATAAATAAAAGAGACGGAACTCTGAGTTTGTTTCGGCATTTCTTCTCAGAGTAGTCAGTTAGGAAATGTCGACCTCATCGTTCGCTTGATAAAATTGACGTGTGCTGCCTTGTAGCCTATTTGCAGAAATAAATTCACTTGTTTCACAATAGTGAGAGCAGGTGACGTGACGTCACGTTATGTTATGTTAAAAATGACGTGATCAATTGTGTAACGTATAATTCTTTCATACTTCATGGAAATACATGTAACTGATGAGTCATCATATCAATTTCATTAAAACATGCATTCACAACATAGAATATATATTGCAAAATATTTGATAATACTATGGCCCAAGTCTTGAACAAATTAAAATAAAATAAATAAAATAATGTTTATTTCGGACAAGTGAAGCATCCATAGGGGTTAGTAAGAAAACATTTAAAATCTTAAAAACTATGTTAGTACCTATAGAGATATTGTTACAAGCCTACTGTTGGGAATACATCTTCGCACGATACCATGTATTATAGGTGAATCGTACCTCCCTGCAATGGTTTTCAAGATGGAGTTGGAACTGGCCCGCACCCTGCAGAGCAGCGATGCAGACTTCTGTCTGATAATGGCATGGAAGTCATCAACGTGTGCTTGAGCGAACATGCCAGATGCACTGCAGAAACGGGGCAGTCCCATCAACATTCTGAACCCATTATTATATTGGACTCGCAGGGCGCTGATAGTCCGCAAAGTATAGCCGGCCCACAAGCTGCACGTGTAGAACACTTGACAATATGCTTTAAAAAGCGTTACTTTAACCTCCTTGCTACAACGCGCAAACCTGCGCGCCAGCATATTACATCGAACTGCCAGCGCCCTACGTTCCCGCTCAATGTCTACATGGTCCCTAAGGTCGTCGGTCACGTAATGCCCCAGGTATTTGAACTGGTAAACACGATTTAGTTCATTACCATTAAGCCTAATTGCAGGTACAGAATCTGGACATTTACCACCACTCGCCTTAAAGACCATGAATTCGCTCTTAGCAACATTACAGTAGGCCATGAGTCTGTGCATAGGACTCACAACACGCAAGTAACTCTCTGAGCGACCTGACCGTTGGGCCCAGCAGCACCATGTCGTCGGCATAGCTGATGTTATTAATACTGCAGTCATCAATGCGACAGCCGATTTTCTTACTGCTGAGCTCAACGATCAGGTCGTTAATATAGAGGTTGAACAGTTTTGGTGAGGTTATTCCTCCCTGCCTTACACCGCACTCCAAGCCATACGGCACCGATAACTTGTCGGCCCATCTCACATTATTTATCTGGTTATAGTACCAGTACTGAAAAATACGTAACAGTTCAGCCGGAACTTTTCTCTCCCGCAGCTTATCCCACATGACATCATAAGAGACGAGGTCAAAGGCACGGGAAAGGTCTAGAAAACACGCATAAACTGGAGTTCGACGCCTTGTATAATATTGACGGTATGTTTCAGCCCGAGAATCGCACTTTCAGTGCATAGATTATGGCGGAACCCGAACTGAGCATCGTGCAGCTGCAGAAAATTATCCAATCTTGTGTCCAGCTGACTGTCAAGCACCTTCGCGATAATAGTAGCTAGAGAGATGGGTCGATAGTTGCACTTATCTGATATGTCACCCGTTTTGTTCTTTATAATAGGCACAACAATGGTCCGCATGAGATCATGAGGGAGGTACGAATGAGACATGCACAAGGAGTAAAACATAGCCAATACCCTAGCCATATGCGGTCCAGCATGCTGCAGGTGCTCAACGCTCAGACCATCATGACCCGGGGATTTTCCTCTCGTCATTTTATTGATTGTGTTAGACACTTGTTTCGCAGAGAAACGCACTAAATCCGACTCAGAACAATGTCCATCATCAAGCACCCGCAACGATGCACCCAGCGGCGACTCCACGTTGAAGTGGTTTACAAACATATTAGCAATGCCGTCCGGCCGATCAGCACCCCCAACACTCACCGGAAGGCCAGGCTTAACATCCAACTTTTTGGTCGCCTTCCAGAATTTTTTAAAATTTTTAGCCTTACGATGAGAAGCTAATATATCGAGCTTGATCTGTTCTTGGTGATTTTGACACCATCTTAGTTTGCTTTTAAATATCTTGCGAGTAAGACACATGTCATTGTAAACCTCACCGGCCGTAGGCTTATTGTACCACAACCACTGCTGGTATTTAAGCCTGGCCCTCGCGTGGGCGTCCCGTACATGTCTGTTCCACCCGACAACACGACTTCCATGTTCACTCGACCGAGTATCAACCTGACTCTGAACAGCAGCATTTGACAGAATAGAAACAATATTCGCGTACATCTTGTCCAGAGTAAGTCTATGTGAAATATTATTACAGTGGACATTACTACATAAACCAAACTCCTGAGGATAATCAATCAGTCTCAATTTACTGTTACACATGTTATAATATGCACTAATTTGTTTACAGTCCCTCTCGCCCCATATAACCTTGCTACGAGGTGTTTTATCATCTACATTCCTTGGTTTAATTTTATCTAAACGACATTCAACAAATATGGGAAAGTGATCAGACCAGAAGACATCGTAAACAACACCTATATCACAAACTGTAAGCCAGGCCGATTGCGTAACGACACAGTGGTCAAGCCACCGTCGACAACCGTGCGCGTCACTGATAAAGGTGTAACTGTCTGAATTCAGTCCCATCCGCTCAATGTCCGCACATATCCACTTTTGTTCAGTACAAAAATCCAAAAGTTCACAACAAACAACTCACCCGGGTGCGCGTTGAAATCTCCGAGTATATAAATGGTCTCAATAACTGGTTTCGATTATTGCACTGATTTCGCTGAGACAGTCAGTAAATTCCGCCAAGTTATCACTCGAGTCAGTTGGCATGTACACACTAAACACAATTATGCATTTATCTCCGAGCGTCAGTTTTACCGCTGTTAATCGCGCACTCACACAGCTGATTACCGACACTGATTCAAAAACACGTTTACGCCACAGGATCGCTACACCTCCATAAGGTCGACCTCTAAGAAGTTCACTCGACGTATCAACAGCTGACTTTCCTGTGTACTCAAAGTCTTGATGTATTTGACCCAGGTATGGAATATCTTGAGGTAGCAGCCATGTTTCTTGGAGGGCAACCAAGTCGGCTGACTGGCATAAAAGTTTAACTGCATCAACAGACCGTTTCACTGATTTACAGTTAAAACTTATAAATTTCATGATATCATAATTGTTATCCTCCATAATAATATATTATCACGATTGCTGCTTCAATGTGCTGCTTTTCGACATATATGGTTCCTTTACAAAACGACGAAAAGTAATATCCTTAGGCCATAAATTTTTATCTAAAAATATGTCGAGTTTTGTTTTAGGAACATAAAGCTTATATGAATTGTAAGATTTTTCGGTTTTTCTATTAATTTTATATAGGGTTACATCTTCTTGCGTGTTGTCTTTTATATAAGCTAAGATATCGCTTTCATGCGTTTGTTTGTTTACATTTGATATAAACAATGGTATTTTCAAGCTAGCCGCCTTAAATTTTCCATCGGGACCGACGTTAGCTTTACCAATCATTCTGCTAGAACCATGTTTCGTTTTATTCTTCTTCTTCATCACAAGCTTCCATTCATCCCCTACTATTTCTTTTCTCTCGTTACTCGCCTTCACCGTTTCCACCAAAGTGTTGCGTTCAATAACTCGAGAAATCGTTGAATGGTTATTGTTTGCGTTCGAGTTAATGAGATTAAGGCTAACGGTAGGGGTTTCGCATTGTTCATTCGGTTGCTTGTTGACTCGCACTGACGATGACACATAGCTGTCCGGCCAGTGAGTGAGTGAGACAGTATCACGCGCATTCAAGTTATCGGTCCTGTGCATAGAACCGGCTACTGCGCGCTTTGTTACGGCAGCGGCACCGTTATTTATTTCTGGGGTAGATATTTGTTTTTTCTGCATACCGACATATTTAGGAAAATAATCACTTATAACAAGAATAAGTTCGATAACATTAGTTTTTAATTATTTCTTTATTTTATCACAAAGCGGGACGCGTCATAAAACCTACATTCCACACACCTACTGATATTCGAAACCTACATTCGACGCATCTACCCTATTCACCGTTTGCAACATATGTTGTACGGGACTTTGACCTTTGCATCGTCAGCCATATTGTGTCCCGACCTTTAATACCTCTTACTACAATACAATAGTAACTTGGATGCAAGTGACGCCTTGGAGAGCAGTTTCATTAGTAGATGCTAATCAATCGAATGCCCCAGGGGAAGAGCAATATTGTCTTATTGACTCATTTCGCTAGAACAAGGTATCAGGCAGGGCAGGATCGGGCATAGTATTGCTGATAATATTTCATTTTCTTAATGCTATCGTAGTCTGACCTACGTGCTACTACGGTGCTTTTTTTCAGGTTTTGTTCCTGACTTTTTTTATATATCTCGCCTGGTGGTAAGCGACGATGCGGCCTATGGTGGAGCACGTCAACCATAAGCAACCTATTCATTCGGGCCTTAAAGACACCCAGGTTATACCTTTCAGGAAACACTAACACTGGCAAAGAATTCCACTCCTTAGCAGTACGCACAAGGGAGCTTAATGCGAAGCGCTTCGTGCGTGTGGGTGGGACATACACCATGAATCGGTGACTTTTGACAATGGGTTCTTGCGACGACGCTTAGTTTCCATAGATTATCCTGGGGGGCGATTCCAATTCTCTTTCGAAAACAATGACCAAAGCTGATGTAACATAAGAAATAAAATCCCATTTTATCTGTTCTAACACTCAGACAGAATATAAAACTAAAACCGATCAGAAGTTTCGACGGAATAATTACCGACACCAAACGTACATAGCTACCTACCTACCTACGTATGTATGGTAGCTGTCGATTTTATAAATTGTTACTTTGGCCACAGCTGGGCCTGTCCTTGACATAAATATACCGATTTTTATCCTAACTGTCTTCGCTTCATCGATCGACAATATTGTTAAATAACTCTTATCAAGATGGTAGTTCACATCAGTATAGGTATTTTGTGCTGTGATTAATTGTTCAATTGATTCGATACGGTTTATAATGACAAATATCTTGGGTGACTATTAAGTTTTTCTTGTTTCCTGTAGTAGTACTGACTTAGGAGTAGTGCGTGGCATAATAAAGAAAAAAGAACATGGATGGATGGACCCGCAGCACCAGAGGAGTCATAAATATGCCACCGACCTTTCTTGGGGCTTCTAAAACATTAGCTTGAGACGAATAAACGACGGTATAGTAAATTAGTAAGTATGATTAGCTTACCTTATCGGAATACTCAGCGACATCTCTCATGGAGCGCGGGTAACCAGACACGAGGTATGTCTTCGCCGTGGGAGCCATCTTCATCTCCAGCATCAGCACTTCCGTCACTGTCGTACTCGATAGCGTGCCGAAATCTTGCATGTCTAGGGACAAGATATTTTGTTACAAAAATGTGTTCTTAGAAAATAGTGCTTGTAGAATATGTTTTAATCTTAGGATAACATTTAATATTTTTAACATAACATTACGCCTTTTATATCCGAAAGGGTAGGCAGAGATGCACATTATGCCACTGTACAATGTAACACCCACTTTTCACTATTTATGTTATGAGCCTGGAATTGTGCCCGGTATATGGCAATAAGCTCACCCCCTATTATATAAATAGACAAAAGTGGGTGTGACATTGTACAGTGCCATTAAGAGCCGCAATATCCACCCCTGCCTTCCTCTGCAGGGATAAAAGGCGTGATATAATTTATGTGCTAGCGAAAATAATCGTTGTTTATTCAAAAACTAGTAATTCAACTGAATTCTGAATCTGTTGAATATGTTCTATTGAGTTGTCACTGCCATTGAGATTTTCATAACAAACGTTGCATGGCGAATTGGTCGTCCGCGTCGAATGGACACTCTGTTTGTTTGTCACGGTTTGAAGTTAATCGGGCATGTCAGTTTGTTTGTTTAAAGGTAAATTGTTGAATGCTTTTGCTGATTTTAAAGTTAGGTACTTTAAAATCTCGTTGTCAATGAGGTAGTATAAGATATGGTGGGGTATCTAACTGGTAGACACTGCGTACTGTTCTAGTTTGTAAATATTGGTACTTGTTGTTGGTAGGTTAGGAATTCACACCCTCTGGCTTGAGAAGAGGGCGTCCTAAACCTCCGGGCCACCACGACGCAAGTATCAATGTGACTTTTCCGAGTTGTATGTACTTTCAAAGATTATTTAGTCATTACTAAGAAACGGTGAAGGAAAACATCGTGTGGAAATCTTGGGCTCGTAATTTATAATTATAAGTTTGAAATCGCCAACCCGCATTGAGCAAGCGCAAGCGTGGCGATTAATGCTCAAACCTTCTCCGTATGAAAAGAGGTCTCTGGTCAGCAGTGGCCATTTATAGGCTGTGATGTTGTCAATATTTGCTTATAGAATTTATTATTTTGTAGACTTGGTGACCAATGATATTCCATCTACGAAAACCAACCATGGCTAAGTAAGTAAACGCACCTACGATACAGGAGAAAATCCTAGTGTTGAGCAAAGTTTATAAAAAAAACATCGTTTTATCCCTACGAATAAAAAAGCCGTCATATTTAATTAATAAGAGCATTATTGAATTTCAACAGCAACTTAAACCTTTCTAAACATGTATTTAAAATAAAAAAAACAAAATCCGTTTGTTAGTCTCCTACAATTCGATAACAGCTGGACCAATTTTGCTATTTTGGCCTTGAAATTTTTGTGAAAGTACAGGGAAGGTTTAAAATGTCAGAAAAAAGAAATAAATGTAGGCGGTACGAATTTTGCTAGGTCAGCTAGTATTTTATAAATGTTATCTTACTTGTTACATCTTCGTATATCGGCGTTCGGTTCAAAAACTGTTTGTCTTTCGACATATGCTTCCTTTTTTTTATTGCATATCCCGTAAACGAGCAGACGAATCACCTGATGGTAAGCAATCGGCGTCGCCCGATGGACACATGGAACACCAGAGGCGTTACAAGTGCGTTACCGGGACCGGGGTCCTTTTAGGGATTAGGAGTTTGAGGATCGTTGGGGATTCAGGGATTGGGGCGATTGGGGAAGGGGAGGGTAATTGGGCCTACGGTAACCTCACTCACACGACGAAACACAACACAAGCGTTGCTTCACGTCGGTTTTCTGTGAGGCCGTGGTATCACTCCGGTCGAGCCGGCCCATTCGTGCCGAAGCATGGCTCTCCCACACTTAAAATGAAATTAATCAATGAAACTTACAGTATAGTATAGCACGCGCAATAGTCGTGGATCAAGCTACTGGGACTGATTCATCGTTTTACAAACAAAATACGAATACCACCCGTACCTAATATTTACAATTACATTTCGTAGAACACAAACATTTGACGAATACGTTAATATTTACTATCATACATATACACTATGTATGTAAGTACTACTATTAAAACAATATAATGAACTAACTTTTACCTATGGCTTCAGACGCGTGTAAAATAAGTTCACCTGATGTTTTTGTTTTTTAAGTCTGAATAAATGTATTATATACATATAAGTAGGTAAAATTGAAATGTCTGTAATATTAAAATAACCGCTTTTTACTGCATGCATACGATACACATACCAAAATAACATCTTTACCATTTTTATCTGTTTGTCTGTCCGTCTGTCTGTTTGTACAGGCTAATCTGTAGAATGGTTGGATCAATTTTGACGGGGCTTTTACTGGCAGTTAGATGATAAACTACGTTTAAAAAAACCGACTTCAAGGCCCTCTTCTTTTGAAATCGATAAATTAATATACTAAAACCTTCTCCTAAGTATAACAAACACTTTTCTGAAATCAACTGCATCAAATCGGTATAGCTTATTGCGAGATAATCGCGTACAAAGATACATACATACATCGGTCAAAAAGAGAAACTCCTTATTTTCTTTTTGGAGTCGGTTAAACAATCCTATTATAAATCGGAAAGCGAGTTTGTTTGTTTATTTGTTCCGCTTTCACGCCGTAACTACTAAACCGATTGCTTTGAATTTTTACAGACGTAAAGTTAGAAGTCCGGATTAAATAATAGGGTACTTTTTATCCCGGAAAGATGTGATATTCCCGAGCGAAAACTAAATTATTGGTATAGATGGCGCTGTGTGTATTGGTATATGTCACATAGGCTACTTTTTATCCTTTTGTGACCCGAGCAAAGCCGCGGGTAAAAGCTAGTTGAATAATACTTTACCAACTACGCAATTTAGGGTTCCACAAAATACCTTCATCGGTAGGCCACCCGCTCAACTGAGAAGGTAGGCTTATAGGAATTTTTAAAAGCTTTCCCATACCGCCCCCCCTGCACTCCCTAAGGAACCTGAAACCAAGGACATGACCGTTGGTTTTAGGTTGGTGAGGTGGCTGGGCAACCGGCTGCCGCGGAAAGTGTCGCGGGTTCGATTCCCGCACGGAACAACTCTTTGTGTGTTTCATAAATTGTTGTTCCAGGTCTGGGTGTCATGTGTATGTGAACTTGTATGTTTGTAAACGCACCCACGACACAGGAGAAAATTATAGTGTGGGGCAACGTCAAAAAACAGCAGTTTGTTTATGAATCATATATTCACCCACAACAGAAGAGTATTGTATATGTATATTGATTGATATTACACGCATCAATATGATAAACTTTTCGAAATAAACCCAAACCAACCCATTCACTCAACTTTCTACCCTATTATAAGGATATAAGAATGGTTTTTGTTCAGTATCGTTTCCTTTCGAGTTCTTTGACCGCAAACAGATGAGTCGACAAATTGTCGTGTGACTGGAGGGTTCCGGGTTCAATTACCGTCATTGATAAAATATGCACGTGTGACAACAAATATGTTAGCCGTCTGAACAAAAATTAAAGGTTTTGAGTACGGTGTTTATTAATAAAATAGTAGAATAACACGGATATATGATGAAAAAGGAAATAAGTAACCTATAAATTTCCTTTATACATATATCAATAGAAAATAGAAGGTAAAGATATTCATAGTGTAGATATTCATTTTTTTAATGCGTTATATATCATTAAAGTCATTTATGTATTTTTAAAAATCTCTACTAGACCAAACTGATTAGAGCTTTACATGTCTTACGTATAATAACTTTTTCATAAACTAGGTTTAAAGAAACCCGACTCACAACCGCCTATAAATGCCCACTATTGAGCAAAACCTCTTCTCACACGGAGAAGGTTTGATCATTAATCACCACGCTTGCTCAATGCGGGTTGGCGATTACAAACTTGTAATTAGAAATTATAAGCCCAGGTTTCCTCACGATGTTTTCCTTCACCGTTTGTCAGTGGTGTCTAGATAATCTTAGAAAGTAAATATAACTCAGAAAAAGTCACATTGGTACTTGGTAGAATGCAGTTGATCAAATTACTTTGTAATAACTACTGTAACATCTATACTTGACTTATATTCGCAATATACGATTTGAAATTTAATATATAGTTTCAATGACATCTACAATGTCATTAAAACTTGTTTGATCGAAAATAGAAAAAAAACGAGGAAAAAAAAGTAGCGCGGAGTCAGGAAATGTGCCCGGTATATGGCAATAGGCTCACCCTTATTACAAGGGGTGACCCTTATTACATGGGACTCATAACATAAATAGTGAAAAGTGGGTGTTACATTGCACAGTGGCATTAAGTGCCGTAATGTGCACCTCTGCATACCTCTTTCTGTTATGTTATGAAAATAGTCGTAAAAGAATATAATGAGAGCTATTAAAAGTGCTAGCTTATTTATTATTATTTTCATAGCAAGCAATATGTAGAAAATTACTTTTTTTCTATCTGTTTTAGCTAAGTTTAATCTGTATTGAACTTTATTCTTACATTTTTGCTTGACTAGGAGCTTGGGGGTAACTTAATCTCACTATAAGATCATAGGAAATAATGTATTCTTCTCTTCTTTATTTCGTCCACAGCGATATCAGAAAATTGTTTAAAATTAGTATTAATGTGCAATAGACAAACAATATGCAAGAAGGTAAGAAGCTACGAGCCTTCGTAGACCTACGCTACGGATTGTAGCAAACGTAGCGAAGCGACTACGAAATCTCGTAGCGATTGGATTTTGTGATGTATGAGTAATAATAATTAAAAAATTGTTAATAAAAAGGCTAATTATATACGACGCGAACACAATAAAAACGTATTGTTTTTTTTCTAAACTTTCATGCAATACAACAATTTCAACCTTTATTTAAATTTAAAATTATTCTACAATTCCACATCATGGCTACATATTTAATTAGTGCAAATATTATAGAGAACGTGCAGCTAATTAGCGTTATACTATTACGTTTTTTCACAACGTTATATTGTTTACGAAGCTTCAAGTTTCATGTGGGATATTATGAGTTTTGCAGTTCATTTAGACTAGATACTATTGAGTTTTTTTAACCTGTGCCTAACGTAAAAATGCATGTTCATAGGGAATTAAAAAGTGACATTGTTGATCGGCATAATTACATGGGAATCCAACAACAGTGCCCCCTGGTGTTGCTTGCATTATCTCGCAGTAATAAACAATGAACTGCACTATACTTTAATTATAACGCTTGCTGTCACGACATATTTTTAACTTAACTTTGTTTGTATTAGCAAACAAAGTTAAGTTAACTTCTAATCTTAATTAATACTTCTTGTTAATTTGTATTACATATAACATCACGCATTTTATCCCTAAATGGGTAGGCAGAGGTGCACATTACGCCACTGTAATTAAATTTTTAATTTGTATGTAGCATGTATTGAATGTATGTATGTTGGCAATGATATTATAAGTAAAATGTTTACTTATAATAAGAGTCAAGAAGTATGGTAGAGCCATGCTTCGGCACGAATGGGCCGGCTCAACCGGAGTGATACCACGGCCTCACAGAAAACCGACGTAAAGCAACACTTGCGTTGCGTTTCGTCGTGTGAGTGAGGTTACCGGAGGCCCAATTACCCTCCGCTTCCCCAATCTCCCCAATCCCTGAATCCCCAACGATCCTCAAACTCCTAATCCCCAAAAATCCGGTACCGCACTTGTAACGCCTCTGGTGTTCCAGGTGTCCATGGGCGACGCCGATTGCTTACCTGCTCGTTTACCAGCTTATGCCATAAAAAAAATGTTTTGTATAGAATGAGAGTTAGTTTAGCATATTATAGTAAACATAATGTTGGGCAATGGCTAAGTTTAAAAACCAATACAAATATTTAAAGTTAAACATGTCTTTGAACCTGAGTAAAGCATGATTATGACTAAACGATTACTGGGAAGCGAAAATTCGCAGTAACTCTATACTGCACGCCGTCATGGTTAAAGTGGTTTAGGTTTTGAGTGACGTACTGAAAGTGTTTGACTGTCAAGTGTACCTACTTATTATACGAATTTTCGATTGTATAAATTGAAGGCAATGGGAGCTTATTTCCATGTTATATATTGGTATATATTTTCGCTAACAATCAGACAGGCTGTTGACTTTTACTCAAATATTTATTCATCTAGTATTTTGCTAGCTATATTTGTCTGAGCGCAGGGACTACCATCATATAGCTTTCGGATTCTATCCCTGTACGGCGCGTAAAATATGTTTGAGTACAGATTAAATGTATCAAGTAGGTAGACACCAGCCTTTCTCCTCGGGAATAAAATGCCTGTTACGTAGGTATGTCACATAAATATAGATTTTCTAAGTCCACTCAACTAACTACAGTGTAATCTAAATCTATACTACTTAAAGTGCAGACCGGGTAGAGTAGTACCGTTGCCGATGGCGTACTGTTGCAGCAGGTCCGTCATGTTGATATGAACCACGCCGCGGCGCTCCTGCATCAGATTGTCACAATGGGTCACCTTCCCGCTGCCTGGACCACCTGTCCAAGATGGAAAGTAGATAAGACTCATTTTTTTCTTCCTGAAATTTTCCTGGCTAGAATAGGGTAGACGACTAATTTTTATTTTAATGTCCGTCTGGTAGATTATTTAAAAACATTAGACACGTATTTTTTCTTTTCTCACAGAAACGAATAGTTTCGAAGATATATTGATTTGAAATGTCGCGTGACGTCACTTCTCAGTACATTTTATACTAAGAAATGACGTTTTAACCCCCACTCCTAAACTTTGATTCGTTTTATCTAAGTATTGTTTTATTATACGACAAAATAAAAAATACGTGTCTAATATTTTTTCATTACCTAACTTACGCACTAATAATATTTTTAATTTTCATACCCTGTCATCATCCCCATTGGATAATGAGACTTTCTGAAACCAGATTTGCTTGATTGTGTTGCGTTATCTTTCCACTGCAACTTTTTGAAATACTTAAATTGATCATCTTTTGATCTTCAAAATGACCCGGTTTCTGAAAATTTTGTAGTTTTACCCGTGCCCAAAAAAGCATGTACACAGTAGGGGGTGCGCCTAACCTTTCTCCAGTCATGTCGGATTGTCATCTCAGTGAAGCTTAAGTGTGGGGATACAATGTATCCCCACATTGTATCCCCACACTTATGCTTCTTAGGTACCTAGTTAGCGAATCTTAATTGAGATTGATAGGCCAAATATGACTCCAGAACATATAGCAAAAATATTTTTGTCGATGATTACGTTAGGTAACTATTTTATACTTACCCAATACGAATATAACAGGCACATTCGGCGGCTCGAACTTGACATGGCTGGAGTTCTGCATGGGGAAGCCACCAGCCGGCGGCGTGGCGCGCCCAGCCCACGCGCTCTCTCCTCGACTACGATCCCCGCCCGTCGTCTCCAACTCTTCATTTTTTTGTTCTGAACATCATTTTACGGTTAGGGAGATACTTGAAGACTTGGTTTATGTCTTTGGGTATTCTACTTTAGTAATGTAGGTAGGTAATAATAATAAGTTTAACGTAGCGCAGCGTGGTGGTCCGATTTAAAAGACCTATTTATCTTTGACATTAATTTTAGTACGGTTATGCTTTAAATTAAATTTCTATTAATTCAGACGATTTAATTAACTGAAAAGTACTCTTTTCTTAAAGGCGTCACAATTGAAATTGCATTGTATAGATAAAATATTTTGGTCGTTAAGAGAATTATAATTGTCAAATTAATAAATAAGTAATTATGATACGTTTTAACTTAAACAAAAAAAATTGGTTAACCATGTATCAAGTCCAAGACTAGTACATATTATTAAAGCTAACGCGCAAAAAGAGTCCCGTGTAACCAAACTCAGGACTTTAGTTGAGTCACAATGGGGTGTCCGAGAAGTAAGGATCCAACCGAACCAACCCGGTTACAGGATATTTCCAGGGACAGCCTATTTTAAACCGAGGGCCAATAGAATTTGTTACGAGCAAAGCAACTGATTAATCCCAAACTACCTGTATGTAACTTCTATGTTTATCATAGTTTAACGGTTTCTTTCAAATTGCCAGACGAATTTGAAGGACTAATAAAACCTACATTTATTCATCACGACATTAATATTAATTTACAAAACGAAATACTAACCACGTTTAAACACTTTAAACATATTACGTTGGCGCCCAAATGGGACTCGTGTCAATAATAATAAACAACTATTACTGCGTATTAAAACTAGTACCACATCCGTATGCGTAGGTAATGATGATTAAAAACAGTATGACAAAGTGTTTATTTTGCATTTTCATTAATTCGATGTTTTAAGGTATAATTTGAAGGTAGTTTAATTGTGGCGCCCAACATGGGACTCACACACATACACCTACTAGGTGGATGGTCATGACTAATTAATACATCTACGTTTAAAAATAAAGTTACTCACCAGTGTCTAAACAGATGCCCATATTCCATGAAGATGCGAATTTAATTCAAAGTCTTTCCACCAACAAACTTTACGACACAGGGTCCGTAATAAAAAAATATACTTAACTAATGTTTTTAATTGGCACTTTACAAATAAAATATACATCCAAAACACGCGTGTGGTTCCGTTGTCTATCGGCCACGGGCAATCACACGCGGCAATTAATAGTTTATCGATTGAAGGACGCGACCTTCGTAGACGAACCTCAAAACGAAACTAAACATAAAACTCTTTAAATTGAAAATTATCTCATCTTACAAAACTTTTAACTGATCGACTTTGTTTGAGTTATTCGGAAGTTGTGTCTTCGTGATAGCATTTCTGCGAGCGGTTTGAATCTTAATGGCATCGCGGGCCAACCGCTCCGTCGCAGTTCTCACACACGACTGAAAGGAACACCTTCCGTCGCCGGCTAAACGGAGAAACCGTTAGCTGTCTCGCTCTGTCGCGTGGTAGGAGTCGCGTGAGACGGGGACAGGTCATCGTCTGAATTATTAAAACTGCGTCCCCCTCAATGAAACAAAGTAATTACAGTATAAAATGCAAGAGCAACTCTTGCAGTTGACTGATGACGATGTTTGCTGACTAAGAAACGTTCGATTAGGGTCATGATAATATTTCAGATCGACAGGCCCAAGGCGATGTAATTTACTTATTCATGAACGTTACATTTACCATAATTGTCACGTTCAAAACTTTTCAATTCTGTGAAAAGTATGTTCCCAATTACTGTGTACGATTGGTAAATATTCGATAGTGTACAAGTTTGTGCCGTAGTGTGTAATTACCTTATTAATTTTTTATTTATTATGATTCATCGTCGGCTCGCGAGCGGTTCGGGTGAAGGGAGAACTTTCCTTGGACTTTGTTTGTACAGCGGTAAGTAGCCTTGTTAGTGTATTTATTTCGCTTCATTTTTCTTTGTACTGTAACCGTACAATGATACGTTATGAGCATGAATATTTTATTTCATAAAGAAGTTATATTTTATGCACACAATTTGTTAAAAGGCGAATTTAGTGCCTTAGAGGTTTAGGCAGTCGAATATTGGGACATGTAGGGATGAACTAGTACTTTGAAGTATCCCAATTAGTTGTTCAAAAAGGACAAGGTAACATTAGGAATAAGTACGTAGGAATTTAGTCAAACAAAAATAAAACATAGTGTATGAAACATTAAGGTTTATATTTCATTTGAAACACCTTTGCACAGTAAACTAGTGAGTGCAGAGATTCGGAACATTGAAATTAAAAGTAACAGATTCTATAATCACATCTCTTTATAAATTACATAAATATCAATCTTAAACTTAAGTGGTTAAGGTCTAAAATTGTGTGTTTTAAGTACAAGTTTGTACGATAGAGACTTGTTATTTTGTAGGAATTTGAATTCTATTTACTTATATTTACAGTGTAAGGTCGCATAGAGTGAAGCTTATTTTTTACATGGAATCTTTGATCTTTATAAAACTTTACTTAGGTACTAAATACATATATTATATGGTAAAGTATGAAGTAGAATATTTTCGGGCAATTTTTACACATAACATTATATCGAAAAACAAACAGATTTATTTTATTAAGGGCGAATTTTTCAATCATCTGTTAATTCTTAACTGGAATAAAATTGTCATTTCACAGTTATTAGTATGAAAGAATTGTCAAATATTCAAATTTATTCCTCTGATAAAATTTAACTGAGCATTGAAAAATCAGCCTTACGTATTGTGAACAAGGTTTTTTGCAGTACTTAAGCAATTCATGTTTTATTTTATAATATTTTACAGACTTGAGGACTCACTTATAAAGAGTACATAGCGAATATCTTGGTGGTGAACAAGCGTACTTTATTTAATTACATTACAGTTGAAATTCCAATAACAACGACCATTAACAAAAATTCTTTACAACATACAGGACGCGTTGAAATTTCAACTTTATTTTCACAATATTAAGTTACAATTTTCAAATTATCCGCTTTTTCATACATTTTGGGGCTGTTACATTGCCTGTCAGTAATATACCCTTTTTAAACCATTTATATATGTCGCAGGATAATTTGATACTTCGAATCTTCGCGGAAATCCTAGGGGTTTTGCGAAAACGCGGATAATTAGACATAGGCGAAAAATTATCAAATCTTACTGGACAAAGTCAGGATTTTTGTGAAAATACTCGTTACTATAGTAAGATTTGATGTGCTCAACACTGATTGGCTACAATTTTGCTGGCTGACTTCTAATTGGTTCCTAGTTTGCCGATGATTAACTTCAAGTATTGTATCATAGAGTTATGAAGGTTTAGAATAAGTGAGAAAGGAAAATCACTAATTTGATTTTTATAAACTTTTTATTGAAAATTTTAGTATGTATGTTGTTTTCTACAGACAATAGGAGATCTCAGTCGTAGTAAAAAAAATGATCCAATTTTAGGGTGTAATCCATAAATTGGATGAAACTGGTCGTTTAAGACGACGAAAAAACATTTAAGACGTCAACCAATCAGAGACGATCTCTTATTGAACGCGCTGACCGACCAATCAGCGTTCTTATTTCATAACAGCCAGCGTTTCGTTTCGCAATCTTACTATAGTAACGAGTATTTTCGCAAAAATCCTGACTTTGTCCAGTAAGATTTGACAATTTTTCGCCTATGTCTAATTATCCGCGTTTTCGCAAAACCCCTAGGATTTCCGCGAAGATTCGAAATATCAAATTATCCTACGACATATATAAAACATTATATACATTGATAGATTAGCTAGCTAACATAATTGGAAGAACGAGTTTACTTAGTCTAAATAAATGCATATTGACTACTTATATACAAGTTGACGGCCAATTTCACATGGAGTTGAAAATATGAAGATAAATTATCTAATGTATAGACGTTATGTATCTTTATATTAAAACTTTCGTAAGACATATCAAATTAATTATTATGTTTTCGACTTACTCACGTAATCGTTTGACGAAGAGCTCGACTAGTTTCAAGCCATGCTCATATTCATAAGCAGCATTCCGCACCGCTGCAGAGTCGAGTAGACAGCAGTAGCGCGACTGTCGCCGCGTCATCGCGTAATGGTGCTCTTAATATGAGCTTCCAGCATGGCTTGAGACTAGTCGAGTTCCTCGTCAAACACTTACGTGATTAAGCCGAAAACATAAGAAGTTGTGTAGAATGTGAAGTTGTCTGTAAAGCAGACATACTATTGAAACGAATGAAATGATTCGGGATTTATTTACTTAAAAGGATTTTTTTATCAAAACTTATGTGTTCTAATGGGAGCTATCGTATATTTGGTCAACAGATGGCGCCAATGTAGCAAGAGGTTATTTTGTTCAATCACTGCAGCTGTTAAATATTGAGCGTCCAATGGTGTGATACTAGCTAATTCCCTATTGGACGAAAAATGAAAGGGTCACACTAGCGCCATTTGATTTGGTGAATAAAAATACATCAGCCTCGTTGTTTATTATTTATCAATGATATTTGGCTGTCTTGCATCGATTATCGACAATAGTGTATTTAATTCATAAGAAAATGTAAAGTTTGGCGCCCCTAGCGACCGTTGACAAATCCATCTTTAATCGCCATTTTAGCTCCGCGGGCCGAAATACAGCTTTGGTCATTTTTATTGTATAGAGATACAAATGTTGCGTTTCAATAAAATGTTAGCATTACAGCCAATTTCACCTAATTGGGCACTTTTCTTAATCAAAATAAATTATTTGGACTGTTCAATACAACAAAATATTAAAAAATAATCACATATTCCTTAATTGATTTTATGACCGACTTCATTTTAGTACTTTTCTAGCAAATTGTTAAGAAATAAGTATGCTGTTTGACGCTTAAAAACTGTGACGTCACAATACACAATCTCGTACAAAATGCATAGAAAACTGTCGTTTTTGACAGCTCGAAAATAGTATTGAATTTGACAAGTTGACAAGTACCTAATTTGAGACAGCTGCCTTTACAAGTAAATTGCGAACAGTTAAATAATTAATATTTTTGTAATAAAAGCGTGCTAAGACTACTTTTGATTGGACAGCATCAACGCAATACTATGTATTTGATTTATTCGTGGTTGCGTGGAGATTAAACTCAGCGTTTGAACAAAGTGACGTCGAAATGACAAAATACTTAAATGTTCAAGTGAAATAGGCCATATAAATAATAATTACAAACTATTGTATGAGTATACAAATTTCCTAAAATATTGTCTAATATAACTACGTCTTTACGTCTAAAACAATAAGCGGTTTCATTAACAAAAGACTAAATAAAATAAAAATAATATACAAAATAATATTATAAAACTAAAAAAATGTTAGAAAAATATAAAATGTTATTGTATTATTTATTAAATACTATAACGAAATGGATTTTATTATTTTATATAGACTGGCTCTTGAGATGTGTAAGGAAAATTATACCTTAATACAGATAGCATAAAGTACTGTATTAGTTTATACAACCAATTTTAATGACATTAATATATTAAATTAACTGTCTTTTATCAATGTTTCATTATTTCAATAATATTTATACGGATCACTCGCGTATAGTTTCGATTTATAAATATCAAGAGCCCCGGGGTGACTTGAAACTTGTCGAGTACCAATAATAATTATCAAAATTATAACAATACTTAACTATAGGTATACAAATTATAAGTATTATTATCAATTAGTCAACTTATATTAATAGTTACAAACATAGCCAAAATAAAGAAATAATAATATATTGTTGAGTCATTTTTAAGTATCATATTTTGTACTTAAAACCTTAAGTACATTTATAATATCATTTTTATAGAAACTGAATGAAAGCAACCCATTCTTTAATTTATTACTTTATAAAAACGTATATTTAGAATGTAATAGACTTACATAGTTGACGAGAAGGTTTATAATTTTTGAGTTTGTGGTTTCTCAAAAAGCAAATTATAACGACTTAAATACTCACACATAATAATTTTGGTCCAAAGATAAGTGAGGACATCTATCGGACAAAAGCAGTAACCTGCTTCGACCACGTAGAGCAATAAGTAACAAATAAAACAATCATGAATACAATGAATAACATTAAATTGAGACAACAAGTCGTTGGATGGATTTTAAAATATCACAATGATTTTTATGTAAATATTACTGAGACGTTAAACTTTGAACTAAAAATCAACTGAGTCGAGCTGTATTCGAACACATACCGCAGTGATTTAATGGATACTTAACCCGGTCCTTAACAATTCTTTTCGAAACAAAATCGTTACAAAGGTATAGATTAAGAAATCATGAAGGGCCGAAACACATAACCGCGTTGAGTCGCCGCAATGCTAAAATCGGCAGTTTGCGTTGCGGTACGTTGCGGCGTCGTGAAAAAGAGCGTCTTGTTGTCGTTCGGTAGGGTAACCAGTTCGTCGTGATTTTTTATTGTGGATAGACGTGCCATGGACCATCGTGAAAAACTTATTGCTTATTTGTTATTAAGAAGAAGATGCGCTGCGTTGCAGCGCCGCAAAGCCGCAACGCAAACTGCCGATTTTAGCATTGCGGCGACGCAACGGGGTTATGTGTTTTGGCCCGAAATGTCTCTGAGTATCGCAGATACACTCCACACGAAGTAGATCGAGTTCCGTATAGGTATCTGAGTGCACGAATAACTATTGCAATCGTAAGGTATCGAGCGAGTTCGGTGCTCTGAGGCTCTAGTACGAGATTGTTGACCGCGTACGGCGTTTTGATTGGCCGGGTCCAATGCACCACCCAATCACAGCGATGAACGCGGACTCGTTTCGATTATGTACTTTAAACGTAAAACAAACTTGTACATGCTGAACTGATCCCATTTCACCGCAGACTTGGGACATTAGTAGATATTTGTAATGTGTAAAATCTGTATGTGTCACCTGATTTAGTGTGTGAAATAAATTTTTCTTTCTTTCTTATTAAGCCCTCTGATTGGTTGGCCGGCCGGCCAATCAGAGCACCGAACGCGCTCGATACTATTACGTTACGAATGCGATAGGTAATCGTGCTGAGCACTCTGCTGTTTCGAAACTTATGAATTTAAATCAAATGAAAACTATTTAATGTTATAGGTAGTTAATAAGTAAAAAACATCGAGGAAAAATTATGTTACGAGCACCGGCTATAGAATAAAAAAAATAATATATAAAATGGTGTATAAGCGTTTGTATGAGGCTTATTCATTTAAGTTTAAGAGATATTCCGCGATCGTTTATTAAGTAAAAACTCGATTAGGTATGTAAAAATTAGATGATGTAGTGTATTTTCATTTAGATTTAAAGCACCCGTAAAAATAACATGGAATAGGTAAAAGAAAGTAGTATTTTTTACTTATTTTCGGTTATAGAATATGTACAGTTCTTAAACAAGTTTTATATATTAAGACATATATATACTTATATATAGAACAAAAATATATACAACAATATGTCCAGATGTATAATGATTAAAATTTGTTAATTATTACATAATATCATCCACGGGTTTTTTATCTTTTTTCGTATAAATATTTTCAAATCAATTTTAGAGAATTATATTACTTTACCAATATAATGCATCAAATCTTAATGTAAAAGAATGTCTTTTCGTGCATAATTTTAAAATGAGCAACGTAACAAACATTGTTATTGAAAATTAAACCTAAATTCGATTACTTAAGGAACTAAATTCTATGATTGTCTATTAAGTATTAAGGCCTACTTTTGTCTAGATTCTAGAAATTTCGTTATCTAATATTAAAGGCCTAGGTTTAAGTTTTTATTTTTTATTATATATATTATCTATGTTAGAACACAATGTTGTGTGTAGGTTTTAGGCGTGGCTAAAAGGGGCTTGTGTCAAAGTTTAATTATATATATATATATACTATTATATACAGACAACACGTAATTTGGTATGCAGCTAAGTAAATAAAGATTAACTCAGTATAAAGACAGTAAATGGAAAGATGTATTCTTTGCAAATCATACTAATACAATTCATTATAACAACAGCATAATGTGACAATGTAGAATCAAATATACTATTATTTTCTTATTTGCATACTAAATTACTTGACTAACTCCGCATATAAAACTTTTTGAAAATTAACAAAACTATATGAAAGCAAAGAGCATAATATACATATATAACACAAAATTATAATGAACAGTACAAAAACATTTACAGTTATATTACGTAGATAATTGGGTCAACCAATTAATGTACTATGTCGGTTAAAATAGTATAATGCCACGCTCACGACCCACACAATAATAGATTGTCCTACATTCCCTGTCCATACGAACTCTGTCTTTAAAATATATCTCTGGAATGATAAAACAACATATTTATATATCTTATAGTCTAAGAGCTCGTGAATACCAGACCTTTGTTATTTTATAAAAACTGTAATATTTTGGACGCTTAGTTTCACGTAAAATAAGAAAGGTAGATCGAATTGAAGTTTTAGGGTTATTGTTGCTTTGACAAGTAAACAGTATTACATGTATAGAATACCGATCTAAATTCATCAAGGGATACCTAACTACTTAACCTGTTACCACGAATAAGTGTTTATATACCAAAGTCACAATAGTCCAAACTTTGTAATAAACGTTCTTATCAATGTCGAAAGAATGTGTTGACAAACTCTCACCTTTCATAAAATAATAAAAGTCAAGAGTTCACGGGCTCTTGTCGTATATTGCCCATTTATTAGGCAGATGTGCACATAATACTATGTGCTCGATTATTCCCCAGTTAACATGTACATAGAGTATATGTTATGAGACATAAATATTATGTATAATATCAGTAAGACTATTATTTACTAAATAACTTGATACTGAATGTATAAGGACCTACTTTAAAGTTGGAAGTGATTTTTAAAGCTATGCAAGGTAATGTGACTTGGATTCTTATACGAATCTGACAATTAACTTAAAAGACGTATTTAAGTCATTAATTCGATAAGAAATTAAGTTTATTTTGTGCAATTTTCATTAGGGTTTGAGTACAAAATTCAGTCACATCGATCATTCTCCTTTAAAATGACTTCCACCTTTAAAGCAGCCTTAAACACCAAACAAACACCAACATTTCGAGACGAAAACAAAAAAAACATACCTCAAAAAGGTAATATAGCCCATATTCTTACAACGAGAGAGTACAAAATAAAAAATCATATAAAAAACTCACTCATTTAGGCCGTATCTTCTCATAGAAGTATATTTGAGCTACATTATTCGCTTCTTTCACTAGTAACTTTCTTTTAACAAAGTTAAAATGTTCTAGGGCAAATTCGTATAATTCATTTTCCATTTTCCAAATAGCTGATTGCTGTATCTTCTCTATTGTTAGGAGATTAGGGTCTATTTTTGAGCTGGTTTGTCGAAGATGTGATTTGTTGCTGTTTAGGTAGTATTCTGTCGCTCCTTTGAAGAAGCGAGGTAAGGTAGCCTCTAGCACTGTTATAAAGTCGAGCATTTGTTCTGTAACACCTACCAGTAAGTAGTGATTGACTAGATTGCGTTTCGCTTCGTCTAATGCCCATTGGTTGCCGGGTTCCCTGGAATCAAATTGAGATTTTATGAAATTATTCAGAATTTGTAAAATGTAACACTAGCTACCCAACAAAACAACCATCTTTTAAAATACTACGTAAGTAATTACATAACATCACGCCCTTTATCCCCGAAGGAGTAGGCAGAGGTGCAAATTACGGCACTTAAAATCTCTATGCAATCCTACTTTTCACTATTTATGTTATGAGTCCCATAAAGGGTGAGCCTGTTGCCATATACCGGGTACTACGTGCTAATTCCAGATTCTGTGCTACCACTAACGATTTTTTTTTAAAACCTAGTAAAAGTTTGCCCTACCCGGGAATCCAACCCGAATCGCAAGAATTCTTCTATCAAAAAACTACAACATTTACTATTAGACACAAACCATTATCAATTTGACAATATACTAGGCAACCTTGCCCTTGGAACAATATAGCAAGACATTCGAAAAGATTGATAAAAAAACATTACCTACTTGTATAAAAAATGCGAACTCTAAAATTAACTATGAGTAACAAAGAATGAATTAACACATTTTACTAAGGGATTAATGACAAGATAAGATTACAGAAGTATTTATTTAACTTGTGCCTAATCTTGAACAGTTTTTTTTCGGCAAAAACCCATTAAATATCATTTTTAACCGACTTCAAAAAAAAGTAGATTTTCTATTTGACCTGTATACACACATACATACGTATGTGAGAGTGTGTGTATGTATGTTTGTATGTTTGTGCACAATATCTCGCGATTGGTTAAACCGAATTTGATGCGGTTTCCAGAAAACTGTTTACTTAGAAGAAGGCTACAGTATATTAACTAATCGACTTCAAAAGATTAGAAGCTTTTTAGATTTTTAATTTGTATGTATTTTTTTTGTAGGTACCTACTTATTTACATGATATAGAAAAATAAATAAATATGTACCTACAACTTAAAATAGACTAAAACTAACTAATATATACGTTTTTTTGTGTTATTGTACCTTGTGACGGTGTGCAAATAAACGATTTTTCTTTTCTTTTCTTTCTTTCTTTATAATAGAGAAAATAAAATAATAACTTTGTATGTCTTAACTCTAAAGAAAATTGGCTTGTGAGTCATTGTAGATATACATAATTATATATCATTTATTTCCTTTAACGACGCAAACGAAACCACGGGTAACAGCTAGATTAAGTTTTTTTTGTGTGCTGCTCAGCACAGCGATTTACCAACGACATTTAGCTGTTTCATTATTTGAACAATACAATATGATCGTTGTTTCTGAGTAGAATCCTTACTAATATTATAAATCGGAAAGTGAGTTTGTTTGTTTGTTTAGCAACCGATTGCTTTGAATTTTTGCAGACGTAAAGTAAGAAGTCCGGATTAAATAATAGGGTACTTTTTATCCCGAAAAAAATTTGATATTCCCGAGGGAAAACAAAAGTATTGGTATAGATGGCGCTGTGTGTATTGGTTTATTATTATGTCACAGGCTACTTTTTTCCTTTTGTGACGCGAGCGAACCCGCGGGTAATAGCTAGTAAGTAATAATTTAAGTTTATGTAGTTGTTAGCCACATGATGAACAGTTTAATGTGACTATGAGCCTGTGTTATGATGTCCAATTAGCGCTATTATTATTAATTAATAGGACGGAATGTTGTTTGTCCAACTCAATGTACACGGACTTCATCTATTGTTGATTCAACTATTGGACAATGAACATTATTAGGTAGATGTATGTATGTGTTCTATGTGTATTTTAGTACTTGTTGAAGAACCAATAAAAAGGAGATAAACTCATACCAGTGTGGGGCAACTCTTTTTAAAAAAAATGGTTTATAGGTTTTAGATTGTATTATCCGACTCAAGCAAAGAACTCATTTTAACCATCAAATTGATTATAACTCACAAGCTCATATTATTCAACACAAATTAATTATGAGTTATAATAAAAACATAAACACAGCTAAAAAAAATAAGTTTTTCCTTTATTTTTTTTGTATTCCTCATGTTAATTTTAGTTGTAAATCATTTAGTTTTTATTTAAATTACCTCTAGTTATTTATTATTTAATTTATATCTATATAGATTAGTTTACATTACCTACATACTATTAAAGACACATTTAACTAAAAAAAGTTAAAAATACTTATAGATAGGTACACCAGTCATTTCGCTTCTAAACCACCGCAAAGGGATAGGCAGTGCGCTAAGCTACGAATCTAATATAATACCTACCTACCAAGAACTTAAAGGTCAAAACTGAATAACCCTACTCAATTCTAGGAGCTTATACAAAGCAAATTATTCTATACTCTATACATACCAGCACTCGGCGGCGTGCCCACAGAAAAATGGCACTTGTAGCCACATGTTATTAGGGTCGCAATCCGACTGCCCTCTCTCGACGCATTCGTCGAACGTCTGTAACGTGATAAGAGGACGTTATCAGGTATCCTAGGAACTATATCTGGGGTCTCCAGCATGAGGTTGTCATTTCGTATATTTTTAGACAAATAAATAGGTCGACTTTGACGTATTTTGAGGAACATAACATCATAACATACGATCACGCCTTTTATCCCCGAAGGGGTAGGCAGAGGTGCACATTATGTGATTATGCCACTGTACAATGTAACATCCACTTTTTTATTTATTTATTTATTTATTTTAACACTTTATGTATAACTGTATACAATGGCGGACTTAATGCCGAATGGCATTCTCTACCAGCCAACCATAGGGTGATGCAGAGAAGTGTTACAGTAGGTTTTAAACGAAGTTTGCATCTATTGAAAAAAAAAAAAACGAGGGTGATAAATGTATCCTAGTACTTTTCACTATTTATGTTATGAGTCCCACGTAATAGGTAGTGAGCCTATTGCCATATACCGGGCACAATTTCAGACTCCGTGCTACTACTGATAATTTTTAAAAAACCCAGTAATATTTTGCTCGATTCGGAAATCGAACCCGAGACCAACTTGCGACCACTCGGCCAACGAGACAGTATTTTGAGGAAGTATTGCAAATATGTCATCATATTAGAAAGTCATTTTGATAAATGTATTAACTACCTATAAAACTTCGTTACACTTGCAAAAATTCCTTCCTTATTGTCTTATGTAAAAAAACGGCATAAAATCACATAATTTTAAGTGGCTACTCGATCGTTAATCAGCTCAAAACATGTATCATAGGCCTCCAATTTACTACACTTGTTAGTGATATTTTTTCAGTTTTTGCAGATTAGAAATAATAGCTAATGATCTCACTCATTAATATCAAGGTTAACCTAATCAATATACAACGTTGTAACATAATAATATTTGACACAACAATTTATTATCTTATTACAAATTAAAAATCCAAGACAATGTTACCTACATCGTAGATTGAGCTTAGGATCTCAAGCTCGGTAACCACATTTTCAAAATAGCATATTATGACTAGCATGCTGTTAAACCAGCTAAATTATACACATACTTTGTGTCATTTTAGTTATTTAACTCGTCGAGTACCGTATTTATAGACACAATTAAAGAACAATAGGTTGCGGTCACCGGTGACCGCTTGGTGTTTGACAGTTTAACTATGTGAAGTAATAACTGCCTTGTTCTCCGAGTGGTCACCCATGCGAATGCCGGGCAAGGGGTCTTGAATTCGATTCCCGGATTGGGCAAAGTATTATAGAGTTTTTAAAAAAAATGTCAGTATTATAATGGAGTCTGGAATTGTGTGTGTTATGACAATAGGCTCACCCCCTATTACACGGGTTGAGTCCCATAAATAGTGAAAAGTGGGTGTTACATTTGTGCAGTGGCATTCAGTGCTGTGATGTGCACCTCTTAAAAAATAAAAATTTTACCTCTTAAAAAATAAATAAAAATCTTTGCATAAAAAAGGCGTGATGTTACGATATGTGTAGTAATGAAACCACAAAAAAGCACAAAATTGAATATCAACTTACCATTTTGTCACCATGTTTTTTCCGAACCAAATGTGGTCTATAATTATCACCGTTCCTTAAGAAATAGTAGTAAGACACTAGTCTGTCTAGGGGTCTTCTAATTAAGTTTATAAATATAGGCTTTGAGGAGGCACCCAACCTGGAATAGGGAAAAGAATTTAATGACAATAACTTAACTACATATTTTAGATTTTTTTTAGTTTTTTGTGCATAACTAATGTACTACTGAGATGTCAAGGAAGGAAAGTCATAGAACTAAGGAGCATAAGATTTTTTTTTGATAAGCCCAGATACATTATCTTCTTCTAGTATTATTTGTTGTTGTAGAGGCAAAAGAAATACCCAGACTATCTGTGGAAATTTAAACTTTATAGCTTGGTGATAGACCGCATCGATGGATAGTGGAAAACTTCTAATAAGTAATGATATAAAAAACAAAAGCATCTTTAGCTTTGCAAGTAACAAATAACAATAATTTACTTTTAAAACAAGGATCTCTTGATACATTGTCTGTTTTATTATACTTGATAAGAATAATAAAACACAGACTTAACTCCATGTGTGAGACTAATATATGTAAATAGAGATACTATAATTGTAAACAATCTCAATGTTATGTGCTTATTAGGAAGATGACTTTGATTCAAACTAGTTTTCCTTATAAAGTATGTTTTAAAGGTAAAATTAGAGTTTTGTTAGTATCCAACTGTTTAATGTTGGGAATAATGTCTTAACAAGTATTTGTAACTCACCGATCAAAGTTTAGAAAAGCCATATGACCATGGTAGAGTGCCGGCTTTACCTCATCCCACTTAGTAACATTCTGCGCGAACTTATACTGATTATTGAGGGACATGATATGTCGATTGGCAGTTATGTTGATATGTAACACCTTAAAGTTGTTCTTCTTACATAAATCGTACGCTACACCCACGAAACTCGTCGATCCCGTCTTCGGGACCCTATTGTATATCACTACCGTGTCATCGTCATTTTTTTCTTGAGGTTTTGGGAAAAACTGGCGAGATTCCGAGTGAGTTTGCACCAACCTAAACTCTGAAAATAAAACTAAATCTTAGCAACTAAATTCCACAGCACACATTTTAAACTCACAACACATGTTCCCGCTTACCCAGTTTCCTATAATTGTCCTCTAAACGTGCGATTTCTGATTGAAAATAGAGGACAATAACAACAATAACGCACAGACAGGAAAACAGACATAGTTTGTTTATGTTGAACATATCTGAATGCGCCCAGACCGCACAACTTCACGCCGAAATCAGCACTGGCATAATTAACTCGCGTACATTATAAATAAACATTATTTGGGACACATAGAAATGAAAAATAGTTCCGCAGACGACAAACGCCATGTAATAACTTTCCAACGCTAGATTATGACTTCGTCAATATTTAACATTCCTTCGATACTTCTCTTTCTTTTTACACAGGTTAGAAAGAGACAACATGGCCGTCCATGCTATTTCTCACGCGGACAACGGAACGCAACAGTACCGTGGTATGTCAACATTGGTATGTCACATTTACAAACATTTTTTTGCGGTTTGGAAAGCGATTAAGTCATAAAAATATCCCGCATTTTTTCGTTCGCTAAACGCATCATTATTTTTGTTGTATAAAGGCGTACGACATTGACAGAAAAAACGTTTTATTACATGTAATAAAAATTCAAAATGAAGATAAAACAAATAGTGGAAATTGTAATTTTGTTAGACATGAAAAATTGAGAACTTGTGGAAAGAAGTCATAACGTTATTGTAAGACCCCAACCCGAGAGTAGGAACGGAGTGGGTTACAGTAAGAGTCCGATCAAAAATAAAATAAAGAAGTTGATTTTAATATTTCTGTGAGTCTGACACTCCCTCTCTCGGCGAGAGTCTCGCTTCAACCTGGCAAAAGAATATGATTTTACTCACTCAAAAAAGACCCATGATAGAAGGTAATCGCTACTTTTTGTGGGTCATCAGAATAAGGAACAATAAAGGTAAATAGGTACCATGATCATTGTGTCCTGTTATCTGCAAAATCAAACTAAAGTCATAGGTAAGTACTTCCACTAGGAACCCTACACCGACACCTAGACATAATAAAAAGAATCAAACATGAATTGACAAACTTATTCAAACCGTATCGGGTTGATTTATTGATGAGGTTAACGACGTCAACCGTAGATCCGTGTGAGTTTCATATAAACAAGTACCTCATAAAATGGGCCTAGTTACACTGGCTTATCATGGATAATCAATATAATGTCACACGCTAAACTAAAAAATAAAATTAAACTACTTAAGTACCTAAACGATTTTAAAAAGTGTTCGCAATTTATTACAGTTTAATATACCTAAATAATATGATTTTCCCCCCTTAAAAATAATATATATATATATATATACCTAAATAATAGTTGTTTAGGTATCTGTATCAAAACAAACTAAATGGGTAGACGCAAGTAGGTAAGTCCTACCTACCTACTTGTCTATATCTATAGGTAGGTACCTGTAGGCCACAGAAACATCAAAAACAATTGTGGCTTCACTGGTTTTGCATATTTTGTAGGTAGGTACTCCACACCATATTATTTCCTTCTTTATTATATCTATGCTATACCTAGGCAAACCAACCGTAGTCACTTGTATCTAGCTTTGTATGTGCCTAGGTAAGTAAGTAGGCACTGACTACTGACCAGGGATTTTTGCTACAATATTGTGTTGATTTACCTGGTGTGTCTATAGCCTAAAAAAACAATATCACGGAAATTCTCTGAAGGAGTGTATCTGCACAATCATCACAATAAATTGTCAATTTGTATGCACAGGAAATACGGACAGGCAATAGTACTCCAGCCAAGGTGAATTAGTGAATCCTCACCTCATCAATGGTCAGTGTCCAAAGGCGCTTCGTCACACGTAGCCGGGTGCGCGCGAAAAATAGCGCTGACATTAGTTTTCCCGCCAAATGTGGGTCGCTATACGGCCGCGTTCCAATTATTACGCAAAATAAATGAAATGTTCAGAATTTTATTAAATCGTTTTGTTATTCATGTTTAAAATGTATGTCACGTTGTCACTATTTTAGTAATTTATGACGATGTAATTGTTTTGTTTTTTTTTTCGTTAATGTTTTCAAACATGTGCCGTGTGTGATAATAACATGGGATCTTTTTTCTTGAGGTAAATATAATAAATACCACATCTTAACTACCTAATCTATTCAATGCGTATTAATAAAAAAATCTTTGATGTTCATTCTAAGAAATATGGATTCATAGTTATTATCTTTATGTAGTTGAATTAGGTAAGCGTAAAGGAAAGAGGGCAACCAGTATCCTCAATGAAAATTAAAACGAAGTGTTCGTCATTATAAAGTTTATACCAAAAATAGCAATAAGTGTGTATTTAGCAATACAAATGAAGAAGTTTATTGGTTCCTTTTCCGGTCATAATGGGATCTCGATTCGAGTTTGCACGTGCTATAAGTTAAATCGATTGCGCTTATAAACGATGCGGTATTACATTTCGATAACAAACTCGATTTGAAGCGGATCGGTTAGTTTAAAAGGGGTCGAGTAGTTATTTCGCTGTAATAGGAAGATAGATTCGATATTAATGTAGAAGAAATGTTATGATAGCATGAGACGAGATTATTATTTCAAATAACGTGATCAATTAGTAATTTTGGTAAACGAAGAAGTAGAAAGGACACCTAATTTTGCTATAGCTTATAACAATTTTAATTTCAGAAAATAAACCTAAGTTCTATAAAACTCAACTCTTCATACCTTCTGAAGAAATGGTGACTATTAAGAAATGGTGAAAATTTAGGCGGTCTGTTCAATTGAGTATGCAATGTTTGATTCGATATTATGAACGTTCGAGTATTTAGGCGTTCGATTTATAGTGGTCGATCAATTGATATTCGATTATTTGTAATCCGATTTGGCATAGTACAACCAAGATGCATGGGAACTTAAGAGCTCCCTAAAAATGCTACACATTTTTTTTTTATTTCTAGACTTCTAGAATATGTAATGTTCTAGTATTTTGTAGTACTATTTATATTTCTTTATTATTCTATAGTGGATACTTACAACGGCATGTCATTATCTAATCTACAAACCACATAAAAATCAATCAAATAGCTAAGGAAATGACAAATGGCGGGGGTTGTTGGACAGAAATAACTATTTGTTACCAAGACTCATCCCTCAGCGAGGAAATTAGACGGGACATGCATCATGCGTGATTGCAACTGCCAGTTATTGAAGGAAGTCAAGAGTATCATTTAGAATGAAATACTATTTATAGACTACTGTTAAATGAAGATGATATTCGAAGTATTTTTTGTTAGTAGACATCATTAGTTTATGTCAGAGGGCTGTTTATTTTTGCCAATTTTATGGGCATGAACTAAACTTGTCTATCGGGCCTCCTACAGTTTTTTTTAATAAGAGTATTATACAAACATGTTCCAGTCATTCAGAAAGTTCTGTAATACTGTTTTATTACGGAATGCTTGCTCATTCATAAACTCGCGCATTTGCCTGATGCTAATTTTGCGGATTGCAGTAATGATAAAGCGTCTCACAGCGTTATGCCAAATCTCTTACTCCGAATTGCACTAACTAAAGTAATGGCTTACGTCATCAATCATATTATAAAACCAACTACGAATACCTATTTGACCATTTCATTTTCGTAGTCTATTAAAACCGAATTAGTACCTGTGTTATCCCTTTTTATGCTAATTTTTTGAGGATTTTATCAGATGTTCGTACCATAATCTTTCAGGATATTACAGGTAAAGTACTTAAGGATTAAATGCTTATTTTATTGGTTACATGTGTTTATGCTAGTCCCGAAGTCCCATCCGTACGCCAGTCGGAAACCACGCGTCTTGCCGGGCGCACGTTTATTTATATCAACGCCCTTCACGATCGGTGCGCTTTCGAAATATAGATCAAGTTTACAATAGTTAAACACCCATTGTTTTGAAACGAAAGAAAATATAATAGAGACAAAAAACATGGCGGATTAATTTTTGAAATAAACCGTTACTTTTGAATATGGAAGTGGACCGTATTTTGTATATTTTCGGCAGCTTTACCCGCAAGAAGCAGGACAAGAGGAAGTCTTTGGAGCAGTTGTCTTTGAGTGCTGGGAACAGTCCCTTGCACGTCAAGGGTCCTAGGCGTCCTGTCAGCCAGAACCTGAACGTGGCTCCACGAACTTCAGCGTATAGCGATGGAAGAAAGAGCAAGGTGAAGGAATGGGACTGTGGGATATGCAAGAAGGAGCTGGTGGAACCGAGGCTGCTGGGATGTCTGCACAACTTCTGCACGAGGTGTCTCCAGGGTCTACATCAAGAAGGAGAAGCGGAGATATGGAGTGAAGTTGATGGAGGTGAGTTGATTTCTTTTTTTGGGTATCATCAAATGCTCAAGACTAGCAAATTATCTCTGTAATAAAGCTTTTAACTTTAAGTTGGGATAGGTATATTATAAGGGTTTTAATTCCGAAATTCTTTAGCATGAACTTTGGAGTGGTATAATGCTTATTAGATACAGGACTCGTAACGTAGGTAACATTTGTATCTACCGAAAAGTGTGTTCTCAACAACTATAAATAGGTATATTTATAATTACTTATCAAGAATTAATAAAGTAATGTCTTACCTACTTATAGTCCAATCGCGAAAAAGCCCTTGAGTGAGACCCATAATAATCTGTTAATTAAATTATTTTTAACAACTGATTATACCTTCCCGCAATCAGAACAAAAAATTAGAGCACTTTGTTAGGTTTCTCCGATCAGCTGTTTGGCGCATCGCATCCTACTTACTCATCATTAATTTAATTACCTGCGTAAATCGACAGTTTTGTTCGTGCCAATTTGGTTTTAGAGACTTCACTTTCGTTAGGTAATTTTTTTTTTCACCGATAGAACTGTCGATCTTTTCAAAGAGGTTTAGGAAAAATCACCAAGTTTAAGGTACAAAAGTTTACGCCATTAATTGTTTCTTATTGTTCCAGTCCCGATTATTTATTTATTTATTCTTTAATGTAGAGGTACATAATTTGTTTATGGTACATAAGGCGAACTTAATGCCATATGGCATTCTCTACCAGTCAACCAGATTATCAGTCATACACGGTCCAAACTGAACCTACTGTCTCTAAATAAGCATCTCTCTATATAATTAAAGGGTGCAAATTCCGTACAAG